GTGAGATAAACTGATTATGTTGAATTTATAGTTAATTCCAACAACAAAAACCTACACAGATTATTCTTATTTCTCTTTCATTCTTGTTAGCTCATCTGTTCAATGATTTCATCTAATAATCTGTTTGTTGTTATTATGTAATATACGTTGTGTAATTATGATATATATATATATATATATATATATATATATATATATATATATATATATATATATATATATATATATATATATATATATATATATATATATATATATATATATATATATATATATATATATATATATATATATATATATATATATATATGTCTGCATCTGAAATAGTTTTGATCGTGGCTAACAACTCTGTTTGTAATAGTTTTCCATTCTATTGATTGACTGATGGATTGATTAACTGAGTTCTTATCAATTCAGTTTCTAATACAAAAGGATCAATATTGTTCTGATAAAAAAAACTTAAGTACAATAACATTTTAAAAAAATGATTTTTCCTGTTAATGTTGTAAATGAAAAGTATATATTACTTTAATATAATATACATTTTAAGTACTTCAAATGTTTCACTGGTTGAAATCATGAGTCAATCGAAGCTAGAACACCATGAAAAACCTGGAAACACTAGACGGCTATTTTGCCCTAGTATGGGACTCCTCAGTAGTGTGCATCCACGATCCCACACCCCGCGACAATCGAACCCAGGACCTATCAGTCTCGCGCCAGACGCTTAACCAACTAGACCATTGAGCCGGTCGTGATCCACCGGTGTCAATGTCTAACTTCAACCAATTCACGAAGTCGCGCCACCATACACCATTGTCTTCAGTGAGTTCCTATCTCATGACAGACCTGGTTGAACTCCACTGGTAACGACTTCTCATATGTTTTCAATTACTAGTCATAGTTAACCTTAATTTGTAAATATTTAGTTGGAATAGAATAGAGTAAAGAAACACCCTAAAGAGATAATATCAATCTATGAAGTAATGAATAATTTTGTTTTTTGGAGATAAATAGAGAAAATATAAACTAAATGATTACAGCCTATACAATAGTTGTTAAGTATGAGTATAGAAGTTTGATAGCATGTTTTGGAAATTGGTCTCATCGAAGTAGTTGCAGTGATATTCTGTTTTTTTCACTGGTTCTTTAGCTTGATTATCATTTTGAGTCATTCCTTCGAAAAAATATTTTTCTATGTGGGATTTACTATAGAGTGGATAGTGTTTCATTAAGGAAGTATAATAATTCCTCCTGTAACTCTTCTGCGGTTAATGACGATTCTAAGTACAAGTAAGGGAGGAGGGTTGGGCATGAAGTCAGCAACCATATCCTGTAAAATACAAACTTGCTATTTAAAAAACGCTAACCAAAATAAATAATGGAAGCCATTTAAACTCTGTACTCCGAGTTGAACGATCTTCATTTAGAAGAATTATAACGCCTCATGTTGAAAGAGGAGACTGCTCGGAAATCACGAGATGGATGCCTCTTCTAATAACTAAACAAACAATTAATATAGGTACATGGAATATTCGGACAATGTGGGAGTCCGGGAAGAACTATGTGACACGACGAAGAAACTGGTAGAGAAATATAGTAAACCAGGTAAACCGGTCAAGGACAAAGAATGCAAGGCAATTGTTGAGATTCCAGAACACAAGAGTAGAATACTTCGGGGCACTCTAGAATAGACCATCTCGCTCGAATCAGGATGGCCATCAACCAAATGGATAGGAGGAAGCAGCACGCCTAACAATATACAAGCTAAAGGTCTGAAGTCAGAAATAAAAGTAACTGCAAGCATGGTTCACACTCTATTTAATAAGATTTGTGAGGAACAACAAGTGCTGATGTACTGGAAAGAAGAGCACATCATCAATATACCAAAGAAAGCACATCTGATCAAATGTGAGAACTACAGAGACACCACACTACTGTCAGTACCAGGACAGGTTTTCAACAGAATGTTACTGAACCGGATGAAAGATTCAGTAGACATTTAACTTTGAGATCAACAGGCTGTATTCCGTAGGGATCAGTCGTGCACAGACAAAACCGTGACATTATGGATCATCGTTAAACAATCATTTGAACTCAATTTGTCACTATACATTAACTCCCTGGAATATGAGAAAGCATTTGACAATGTGTATAGGGGAACCTTATGGGACGTTCTTTGGCACGATGGTGTAGTTGAGAAAATCTTCAACATCATTCGGAATTCACACGAAGGACTATACTGCAAAGTAGTGAGTGGGAGACAGCTGACAGGTGCATTCCAAGTGAGGACCGGAGTGAGACAAGGCTGCTTACTCTCCCTCCTTCTGTTTCTTCTGGTGGTCGACTAGGGTATGAAGACAGTCACATTGGAGGGAAGGCACGCAATACAATGGAAAGCTTGTGTTCAACTACACGATTTGGACTTCGTAGATGACCTAGATCTACTATTCCATACCTACCAACAAATGTAATTGAAAACAACCATGTAGCAACAGCCTCTGAATCAGTAAGCCTCAACATACACAAGGGAAAAACCAACATCCCCAAATACAACACAGAGAATACCAACCCAAACACACTTGATGGAGAAACTCTGGAAGAAATGGAATCTTTTACGTACTTCGGCAGCATCATCGATGAACAAAGAGGATCTAATGCAGATGTTAAGGCACGGATTGGCAAATCAAGGCAGTATTCCTACAGTTGATGAACATACAAAACTCAAAACAACTGTCAAACAATATTTAAGTCAGAATATTCGATACGAACGTCAAAACAGTTCTACTGCATGGAGCTGAAACTTGGAGAAATACCACAACCATCATCAAAAAGTGCGAGCACTTATAAAGTTGTCTACTCAATATCCGTTGACCAGATAGCATCAGCAACAGACTACTGGGGAAGATAACAAACCATCCTCTATCTGAAAAGGAAATTAGGAAAAGACGTTGGAAGTGGATAGGACATATATTACGGAAATCAAAGTTTATCACAAAGCAAGCCTTAACTTGGAATTGTAAAGGGAAACAGAAGACCAAGGAACATACTGCGTCGGCAACCGGGGGCAGACATGTAAATAATGAATATCAACTGGTAAGAACTTAGGACTTTTCACGATAAAGTTCGATGGGAATATTGGTGGGCAGCCTTCCTTCATGAGGCTTAACAAGAGTAAGTACTTATTACACGCATGATGGAACACTTAGATTAATAGACACATTACTTATTCGATTGGGTCCAATCAGCAACACTAACGATTAAACAACAGTACATCGATTAACGTGAATAACTCAGTCGTGTAGAGGGTTATTCTCAGATAGAGTAACTTAGTGGCATTTCTGTAATTGTAACGCCATAATGACGGAGTCCATAAGTCCTATTCTCACCGTAAACATCAGTGATCCCTCAAGATCGATTAGATAAATCTATATTGGCAGTGTATACTCAGGAGTCAAAGGGCGATAAACTGATGACGTTAAGCTTTTTGAGCGATTATGATAAGTAGATTTATATCATTATCAAATGGCGAAAAAGATTTGCAGCTCAGGTTGAGACTTATATTACCAGAGACGCTCGGTTTAAATACGAACCTGTTTACTCTCATAGTCCTGGACAGTATCATCAATAACCGGAAGATTATAATCGAATAAGAAAAAAATCTTAACTGAAATTGAAACAAATTTATCCTCTCAAATCATTCTAAGTAGCTATATTTATGTATACACTTAATAATAATAGACAATTTATACATCGATAGTCAATCAGATATTTGATATCTCCCAAATGAAAGTGGCAAACGTTAGATAACGACTAGTCAAACAACTATTAAAATCAAGTTTCGTTCATTGGGAATCTCATCTCATATGAAACCAGGTGATGGAGAAACGAACCTTTCTATGATTGTCCGTAATCTCAAAAAATATCTTAACATGAAATCATATCCTTCAGAGTTATACAAATTGTATTTTAAGATTACGAATTGAGGACCTCCTAAACCGATACATGTATGTGCCAGGTCCTATGTTGTGTTATGACTGATCACCAATGGTTATGTGACTATTTTTATTTCATTAAGTATGAATTTACTTCAGTGAGATAGTTTAATTCCCTTTATTTAACTTTGGTGAACGTCTGGACCAGATTAGCATATAATTTATCTAATAAATACACGAAATTCAACTAGTGTCATTGATAACAAATTATGTTTGAAGAATGGTGCACACTGACCACTGCATCGAGATAATGCACCACTCTAAACAATCCCTTCTACTGGCCGAACTAAATATCCGGTGATTTCTGTTTGTTTCCGAAATGCAAACTGGTCACACGAGGTTGTTGCTACAACGATATGAATATATGAAACATCTGAAAAGTCTAACTCTTGGGAATTTTTTGAGTAATTAAAATGGAGGTGGAGCAAGTGTGTATTGTCACAAACTGGCAGTATTTGTGAAAGGAGCAATTAATGTACCATAAATTACGTAAAAAATTTCTTTAACTTCGTATATTTGTCGGACAAACTCCTCAGTAATACGTATTCATGAACCTAGTGTCTTCATAACTCGAGACTAGCGCTTAAGCTTTAAGTATACAAAAGATTGATAAACTGTTAATTTCCTTTTTCATTTCGTAATGAATACACATCTCAGTCCTACAGGAGGTTGGTCGCAGCTCGGACAGCTCAGTGGTAACGTCTGACTGTGAAGCTGGGTGACACGAGATCGAATCCGCCAGGGAGCACCAGTTCCCTCAAGATTACAGGTACACCTTGCTGACGCGTGCCAAGTAGCACGAAACCCGGGCCGAGGGTTTCCTGCCGACTACCTCCAACCACCATCTAATCTGAATACACAATAGGACAAAAAACACTCGTCAAACATATTTATTCTCTTAATCTTCCAATTGATCCATATCTTCTACTTCACACTTGCACAACGCAACTAAATACAGACTAATGACATTACACCAAAACAACAAAAAGTAAACAAGACGAATAATTAAGGTAGTCCAAAAGATATATTTATGGTGAATATATTGGAACGCACACACACATACACAATTCATATGTTCTATGCATAAATTCCAATACTCAATAACGTAAGTACGTAAGATGTAAACGCTGCATTATCTAATCAAAACAAATTTTGCATGCAAATGAAGAAAAAAGAAAAACACAACATGAAAATGAATTTCGAAATGAGAAAGATGATCTGTGTGTGTATGTGAAATCGGAAATGAGAGCACACATGTTAAACTGGTTGAAATGAATAATATTCATAAAAAATACCAAGAATAGTTACGTCTACAATAAACAAAGGTAATGAATGTCTAACTTTAGAATAATAGACAGTGAATCGTTTGATGATGTATAATGACGTTCATAGTTGTTGTCAAATCTCATACACATTAACAGAAGTAAGTTTCAATTACAAGGATTGAATTTCTTTTTAAATGATATACGTCATGTGGAAAAGAGGAAATAGCGAGAGAGAGAGAGAGAGAAGACAACTTGGAAGCTCAACATTCCATACATTTTCAAGAAAGCCCAACCCCCCCACGCCCAGCTCCCAAATCTCTTGATATATAACAGTAGGAATATACCTACGAGTAAATAAGTGATGAAGCAGTTCTAAAGAGAAAATCTAAACATTTATGTCATGCACATGTAAAAGAAAACTATAGAACTGTAAACTATCAAGTTAAATTACTATTAAATGTGAAAGATCATTAGTTTATACGCTAATAATGATGTATATATGTGCATTCATTTGAATGAATGTATGTGAACAAGGAAGACAATTTGTGGACATTATCAACAAACAAACAAAAAACAGTACAAAAAAATCAATCAATATATTTGAAGGATTGGGGAAGAATAAAGACTAGAATAGAATATATTTCACAATGAATTCATTTCTTTATGAGCAATAGTGAATAGTTCTGTCTATCATTCTATGTTAACGGATCATTTGAAGTTATGGTTCAAAAAGAAAATCTTATGTCTATATCATATAATAAATGCATTGTGAACATTAGAATGAATTAGCTAAGAAGATTTGACTATTAACCAAACAAAACAAATTAATATCATAAAGCTGAATAAAGAAAGAAAGAAAGAACGAATGAACAAATGAATGAATCACGCACTTTTGACTAGATATCTAACTGCTGCTGCTTGTTTCTTTTTCTTTTTCTTATTCTTCTTCTTTGAAGTGTTTGTTGAAGTTAACGACCACATTCAGAACACATAATCATATCATCACTGGTAACAAAACCTCTACCGACTAAATTACAATTACATTTTGCACATAGAAAACATTCTGAATGCCAATGACGATCTTCAAATGAAATAAATTTACAACCACCAAATCCTATTTTTTTAAAAATCGGTAAGAAATATATTTTACATAACATGGTACAATCGATATTATATCAAAACAAAAGCTGGTAACGTTGGCTTGATCGAACAAACAAAAAACGTTTATTGTAAGAAGAGGTGTAACTATGTATTCTTCAAGTCAAATAAAAGGGAAATTGATGCCAATTATTCCTGAAGGTGTTATCTACGGATATCCGTGGGATAAGGTAAGGTGTGCATTTTTAGGGTCAGCCTTTTCTAACCCCACTCCTCCTTGTGGGAAGGCAGCATCGCTGTCATGCTGGTTGTCTGAAGGAAACGCCTTACTGCCGTCACACCTCTGTACAGTCAGCAGTACGACTTCTCCTTCGGATCTTAGGTTTGTTGCTTTTAGTCTTACCGCTCTTCAACCGATCTGTCTGGCATGGTAAGACCTTGAGGAACGGTTGTTCCAGTCAGTATAGCTCGGTTGCTTCATTACGATAGGCAAGCCCGACCACCACGTCAAGGTAGCAACAACGGTCGGGAAGCATTGGACAGACGATTGATCTTACTTTAAGACTCCACAGCAGTGCATATCTACGATTCCTCAACCGGGAATCAAACGCAAGAATCTGTCTTGAGCGCAAACACTTAACCTTTTGATTTGAATGAATGATAGACAAAAAGATAAAACGAAAATGTATCCACCCTGTTATGAACGATTCCGAGTCATAACACTGAAAGGTACTCCTTTTCTGTCTACTTGAAGACAGACATATCAAACAACATAGACATAGAAACAAATAAACACCTAATATCCATATTCTCCTATCAAGTTTAAACAACCACTCCTTTTCTTCACCTACCAAAAAAACACTAAAATCTGTGTTTTAATACTACCGTATCCAATTTAGTTAATCCGTCACTGGTTGTCGATTAGTTTAATTGTTAATACCATCAAGACATAATCTAATCTGTATTGATAGATAGTATAGATCAGTTTATTTTTTTTCGTTTTTTTAGTAGACATGATGCTAGAAAATAAATTCTATATTTACAATAGCTGAGTTATATATAATAAAAAAATATAACTAACTAATTAACTAACAGATTTCTTTTCAAGTCATCTTCATGGTGAACTTCCCTCAAATGCCCTGGTAAGACCAAGAGTGGGAAGAGTCAACTCTTCCTCTCGTAGTGTTCTCACATGCCCACTTGCATACAATCACTAACAGGGAAGTCTTACTCACTGCCTTCTTGAGGCAGAAGACGAAAAGCGATTGTCCGAAGCTTTAACCAGGTTGGTGGACATGGAGTACCTATCTAGGGAAGCTGGAAAATCCTGATTCCAAACCAATGGTGTACATGAGCTCCAGGATCATGAGGGAACAAATGGCGTATGAACCAATTGTTGGTCACGGGCTACCATGGGTCTACATCTCCTGACGTTCCTCCACTACCTTGTGGATTAAACCTTTCGTCGAAGTCTTCGGGTATGTCCCTCTAATAAAACAATCTGCTTTGGTTTGAGTGCCCTGGCAGTACCCCAGCCCTCAAAGGAATCGAATGATTTATGTGTTTAGATAAACAAATCATGGTGAAGTAATAATCTTACAGTTTTTCTAATACATACACGTAATGAAAAAAAATATTTTTCAAATGGCTTGAAAAATCTTAACAGGTGAATCCACACTTTCGGTTCTCTCAAATTCTGATCCCCTGAATCCTCCTTATCTCTTTTTTTCTCTTTCCAAATTTATTTCACTGGATTATACTCTTTAAATAACATCTTCAAACTCTAATCTTTCCGATTACTGCTTACACGCTTACCCCCTCCACCACTACGGGATTTGAATCGACAACTGCATCTGTGTGCTAATGTGGTGTAGCAACTCGAACTGGTGTACATACGTACGAAGTTCTACATTGTTACTGACTGATTGACTAACGAATATAAAGACAAAATTTAAAAAAATAGGATAAAAATACTTTTTTATAGAAAATAGCAAACAAAAAAAGGAACTTTACCAGTAATTGGTTTGGTACATTTTGTACATTTTTTAGCAAATAATTCACCATAACAATCAGCACAATATGGTTGTTCATCTTTAGAAGTGAATTTTAATCCTGCTAATTGTTTAGAACAACTAGTACAAGTGAAACATTCTTTATGCCATGGATTCCCTTTGTATGTAACTCCACCACGACGTATAACCTGATAATATATATATGTAGTAACAACATGTAGACACTTTTTTTAAATGTCACTTATTTTTTTAAAGAAAAAAAAACGACTGAAATTTTCAAGTTTAATGCCAATAGAAACTTTTTGGTGAAGAGAAGTTGTTCGTTTTAAATTAGAATATAAATGGGCAAAATGTTTTATTTAGAGAGTTGACATTAGGGCTGCCTTCGATTCGTTGGATAGGATTGTTCTCTGCGATTGTCTATTGAAAAACGGCGTGCCTCAGAAGTTTATTAACATCCTAAAGGCCCTATATACAAGCATCTCAAGCGAAGTGAAAACATACAACCACCTCTCTTTATTGTTCCACTCAAGCAGTGGGGTTATACAGGGTTGCCTAATCTCACCATTCCTCTTCAACTTTGCCATCGATGACATTCTGGAAACAGCTCTGATGGATGTAAGTAATGGCGGTGTAGATCTGCTGCCTGGAGAAAGACTTTTCGATCTTGAGTATGCGGATAATATTGTCTTACTGTGCGATAATGCACAAGCCATGCAATCCGCACCTAATCAGTTGGCAATCAGTGTCCGTAGGTATGGTATGTGCTTTACACCTTCGAAGTGCAAAGTACTTCTACAAGACTGGCAGGATCCTAATTCCGTACTCACTCTGGATGGTGAGCAGATAGAAGTAGTCGAGTTCATATATCCGGGTAGTTGCATAAGTGCTGGTGGTGGCGTAAGTGATGAGATCAATGCACCTATAGTGAAAGCCAGAGCGGCTTATGCCAATCTGGGCCAACTTTGGCGCCTTCGTGATATCAGTCTGGCTGTAAAAGGTCGGATCTACAACGCGTCGGTGAGAGCAGTTTTGCTCCATACTTGTGAAACCTGACCTCTCCGAGTTGATGATGTTAGACGACTCTCTGTGTTTAATCATCGTTATCTCCGAAGGATTGTTGACATTCAGTGGCCACACTATGTTAGTAGTGCAGAGATTCGGAATCATGTGTTCGGACACAGAAACGATAATGCAATTAGTGTCACCATCTGGAAACACCGACTTCGGTGGCTTGGACATGTTTTACGAATGTCGTCCCACATCGTGCATTATTGACCGACTCTGGGACTGGTTGAAAAAAGCGGAGAGGTGGTCAGTATATGACATAGTGTCGTGGGATAAAAGAAAACTGCAAAAGACTGGCTTGTGTCGGTCCTTCACGACTCCCTGGTTGGGGTCCGAGAGGTGGTGCGACACAGTGGCTAGAGACGTTATCAGATATGGCTCAGAATAGAAGCCAGTGGCGATCCTGCTGTAACCTTCTTTTACTTTCATCATAAAAAGTGGTTGTATCTTCCTTAACTGAAAGATTTCTTCTGATTGTACCTTTCCGTTCTCCCATTATTACTATTATTATTATTACACTACCTTACATCAATCTCTTCGTTATTGTTCTCTTTCTTTTTTTTTACGATCCTTACCTTTTCTTTTTCCTTCTCTCTAAATTTTCATTGTTTTGTGTAGCGCATAAATATCTGGTGCCCTGTTGTACCAATACTTATGTGTTCAAATAAATAAATAAATAAATGAGTTGAATGAACCCAGTTACTACAAGTCAGATGAAAATCATACATAAAAAACGGAAATATTAGACATTAAGAGATTGACGTATGTCATTTATCATTGAAATGAACATTGTTTTGATGAATATAGTCGGAGAAAATCAACAAAAGTAAACGATGTTAAGTATGACTAAGTTCTAGGACCTGACAAAGGGTCAATATATATATTTACACTCAAGCCTGAAACCCGTTTGGTTTTCTCGAGATTGTTCTTCAACAGCTTCAGTTAAACATTGGATAATTATTAAGGCTAATGTTTTAGATACTGTACTCGTCAATTTATTTACTATTTTTGTCCCCTTTTATAACTTAGACAATCAGGGATCACATTCACTGCCTAGATTTTAGTTGTTATCCCAGTCAATCCAACTGTTAAAATTCGATCTCCGAAAACGATCCATCAGCAACAGCTCCTGTCCCTTGTTTTAGATTAGGTATGGCTGAGATAAAAAAAAAACATAGAATGAGGAACTATATAAACGACAATTAAAATCTAAACACAAGAAATACATTTCAAAAGGAGCAATGTGATCGAAGGATTGGAAATCATGAACGATACTAACCAGACGATGTTAAGCAAGATAAAGAATGAACGAACTTTGTTTTTTTTTCCATAGAAGGAACCCATTTACTAGGTACAGATTTATGAGGTTCGAACCTACAACCTATTGGATGAAAGTCGTATGACTTAATCATGATGTGTCAGTGTCTTTTAATATTCAATGAACTTTTAGCTGGAAAACCACACAATTTTATCCTATTTTCCATTTAGTTATTAATGATGTTCAGCAAATAACAAATTCTGAGATTTTCTAAAATGACAAAAGAAAAACATAAAACCATTAGTTTTTCCAAACTATTCATCATTCAGTCAGCTACAACGTAGGACCAGGCACATATGCATCGGTCTAAGTTGCCATACCTCATTAACACAACAAGATGAACACCGGATTCATGAAAGTACTTAATTCAGAGGTGATAATATATAAAAGAAAGATTGCAATAAGGATATAGTACACGAAGAAAGAATTAGTTCGTACAAAGAAATATATGAAGCGATTTTAATCTCTTAGTTTAAGGGAAGACAGAGAGTGTATACACCGACGCCATTGTGATCGATTCTAAGCCATGTCATCAACAGTCTCCAACCATTGGTTACGATAGTCACACGTATTCCAACCAAGTAGTCTGCATTTACCAACATGGCTCAGACTAGAAGTTAGTATCTAATAAGACTGATGCCACGTTTTGGTTTGACCACCCCTAACTTCCTTCCAACCATCTCCAACACCGATTAGCATTGCACGTCGTGGTAATCATTACAATAAATAATAAAGTAAGAAAGTAATGAATGTAAACCTACTTCTGAACATTTAGTACAACGTTGAGCATATTTCGCTTCATAACATGGTACACATACAACTTGATTTTCTCGTGGAATAAAACTTTTCGCACCAATTGGTTGTTTACATTCAACGCATAAAAAGCATTCTTCATGCCATTGTTGTCCACGATATTCATATTTACGCATTCCAGCTTTGAATATACCTTGACAACCATCACAACGTGCAGCAAAACGTTCATCATAACAATCAGAACAATATAATTGTTCTTCTTTTGTAGCAAATGGTCGATCAGCTAATGCAGTAGTACAAGCAGAACATATGAAACATTTCTCATGCCAATGTCTTTCTTTAAATGAAAGATCCTGGGAGAAAATACAAAAAAAATAATGTTACATAATGAGATATAGTCAATTCTATTTAAGATTGACAACACAATTGGAACAAATACACTAATGAAAAGAGATTGAATTCAATCTCTTTTTGAATGCAGCAAAATACAACACGTCTAATGGAAATAACAGTGGTGTGACAGCTGAATGTTAAATATTAAACTAGTTCTTTTTTAAGAATTTAGCATGCATTCAATTGAACACATAAATTTAGAGAGAAAAAAAGACAAAGAAACAAAATGAGTAAAAGTCTAAGTATGTTTGTGTAGTAAAGAAACGAATGAACTAACATTATGTTTATACATAGGAAACTCTATTGCTCCCACTCACAAATAGTTAGTGACAAAAACAAAACAAAATAATGATTGCTATACATTTGATTTTTTTAGATGATAAGGAGAAAAGAGGAAATCAATGAGTGCATAGAAGGAATATATTCCAACACAATAATAAACTGATATCCATTAAAAAAAAGGAAACACATGAAAATCACAGGGAGCACGATTACGACGATACAAAGCGATACCATGTAACATTGGCATCATAGGCGTTAGGTGAAGGATGAATAGATCTTTTGATGATTTTTCACCTGCCTTGATTGTATCACATTGCCATGCTTGTCCGACGCTATAACCAGGACCAAGAATATATGGCATTGGGCAACTTGGATGAAATCTAACATTTGATTGTTGAGATGATGTATAAACTGCATTTCGTACAGGTTCTGATGCATCCCGAACGAGTGATGTAATGCCAACTTCCGGTTTTAACATACCCTAATAGTTATGTACAAGTAGTATATAAGAATGTAAAAAGTTTTTAACATATTGTAATTGTACAGAATGAACTGTACTAGATGATGTTATAAATCGAGTAAAATATCACAAGTTCGCAATGTATTTTCGACATCTAAAATGAAAACTTGGAAGAGCATAGTGATTAGTGAGTGGCATCATTCGAATAACTGATAAGGATAGTGATTCTCACTCTGGATTAAATCGAGATACAATTTGTGAACTAAAAACACACAATTAAAACTTTTGATGCAAAATACTCAAGTATATTCAATTTGATATATCGTATGGAAAATCAGTTAAGTGAATACGGCATCGCCTACAAAATAAAGAACTCGAAAGCCACTTACACAATATCCATCATGATAAAGGTATTAACCCTTATTTACAGAAAATTATTCACTGTTAGATACCAAAAAATACCGAAAATATGGTTAAGTAATGTTTCGATAAACAAATGGTTCACAATACTCAAATATCATGTAATGATATACGTAATAGAATAATTATCGGTTAAAGTACAGTATTTATTTATTTATTTTAACACATAGATATTAGTACAAGGAGGCACCTAATACATATGCCCCACACAGATCTCATTTGATACGTCTGAGGGCTGGATACTCCCTGGGTGCCCAGACCGAAGTAGGTGGTTTTCTTAGGGGGGCACACACGAAGTCTTCGACCTGAAGGTCTGATCCACAAAGCAGTGGAGCATCGTAAGTAGATGCAGTCCCATGGTAGCCGGTGATCAGTGATTGGTTCATACGCCATTTGTTCCTGTAGGATACTGGAGCCCATGTACACCATTGGTTTGGAATCAGGGTTTTCCAACTCCCCTAGGTGGACTCTCCATGTCCACCAACCCGGTTAAAGAGCCGGAAGTTCGCTTTTCGTATACAACCAGTAGCATTGTTAGTATGATAACCTTTTTTAGAAGATAATAGAAGCTGACAGTATTCTTCTCATTCTGCACTCCCAGTTATGAATTGTTGAATTATCTCCATCTATTTGTTCGTATAGTGCACAATAACATACTGGGTCTTGGACTGTGTAATTATCTAATATACCGTACCGATTAAAACATGTATTAAAATCAATAAAACTGTTTTAACACCCTGAGTCTTCATTTTCTATCATTCTAATTATTAAACAATCAGCTGGTCTTATTATGACGAGACTATAATTTATGGATGAACCAATCCGATATAAGATAACGAGTCACGAATTTCGGGGCGGAATTCATCCAAACATTTGGCTAAATAGAGTTTTGGCATTATAGCTGATGTCAGTTCGTGATGAAAACCCTAAATCTAATTTTTAACCTTAACCATCAACTGTAAATGAGAATTCTAACTGCTTTATAACCCTTATTTAGTCCTAATTAGTAGTTGTTTACTCTCAAGATCACTTCAGGGTCGTTCAAAAGTCGTCTATAAATTATAGTCTCACCCTTGTTTGGTAACACTGAACAAATTTTTCACCTGTAAATGTAAGTCAAACTATAGAATGATTTTACTGCGATAAAAACCATAACCCAAAAATGAAAGCGATTGCTACCAGGAACTTCGAAATAAATAAACAGACAAACATTGCTAGTTTTACTTCGGTATAGTACAGTGAAGTTTATAAAGAGAGTAGTGAGACTTTAATTTAAACAAATAAACGACAGATTAATTTTAGGAAAAAAAACATCCTGAAGACTAGCAAACGGCATGATAAATTATCTCAGTTGCCAGGCATAAGTTCATTTATTTGGAGTCGAGCAGCATCCTGAATATAAAATCTAATGAAACTAAGTAGATGGAGCGAGATTTAAATCTGAAACTTGTAGATAAAAGCTTAACGCCTTAGCTACTGATCCAGCATCCCACATCAAGGTTCGATTTGGTTGCAGTCTCTAAATGAACGCTCGGATTTCCCCATGAGCTGATTGACACAGCTATCAAGGCTGTAGTTAAACTAAAGCTTCCTAGTGTTATAATTTTCTCTTAACAGAAAAAAAGAGAAATGTAATTCCGTATGCCAAAAAATATGATGGAGTCATTAAAGCTACAAAAACGAAAGAATTTAATTCTTATAAGAGCTAGGAAAACACCTCAATAATTAGGATAAAAACCGATTGAGTTGTTTTAATCGACAACCATGAGTTCGAATCTAGCATTCCGAACAATCCATCAAAGACGAAAAAGCAACTTTACTTACAGTAAAATATGTGCATATTATATTCCCCTGATAACAGATTAGTATTAGCGAATTGAAGTATTGTTTCATCAATGTACAAACTCCTGGTTAACAATAACGATAACCTTTAAAGTAAACTTTCATTTTAACAGATTAGGAATATTTCATTTATGAAATAACGTTACATTACATCACGGAAGTACTACAAAATTAACTTTTTAACGGCTAATTCAATATACATTGCTTGGGATTCAACATTTTATTATCCTGTCAGTCAGTCAGCTACAACGTAGGACCAGGCACATATATGCATCGGTCCAAGTTGCCATACCTCATTAACACAACAAGATGAACACCGGATTCATAAAAGTACTTAATTCAGAGGTGATAATATATAAAAGAAAGATTGCAATAAGGATATAGTACACGAAGAAAGAATTAGTTCGTACAAAGAAATATATGAAGCGATTTTAATCTCTTAGTTTAAGGGAAGACAGAGAGTGTATACACCGACGCCATTGTGATCGATTCTGAGCCATGTCATCAACAGTTTCCAACCATTGGTTACGATAGTCACGCGAACCCCAACCAAGTAGTCTGCATCTACCAACATGTCTCAGACTAGAAGATAGTGACTACAAGCAGTGATGCCACGTTTTGGTTTGGCCGCCCCTAGCTTTCTTCCAACCATCTTCAATACCGGTTAGCATTGTCATCCTCAAGAAGATTGTCGTTCGAGAAAAAACAATGGGAATAATACATCTAAGGCGACAACTGATAGTGCTATCATAAATAGTCATATAAAACACCATATATGTCTAGCATTAGTAATTCTATCAAGATTTACTAACAAGAAACAGACATATACAAATGAACAGTAGATTTATTATGTCGACATAATTATACTAAAATATTTTGACAATGCATTAAGAAAATACCACACTAGATGAACTATTTCTAATCGATTCCATTAAAGCTATATATTAAAACGTGACATTGGGAATGTAAAACAAAATTCTACCCTATAATCAAACATATATGTATTCTCAACAGAGAATACAAAGTAGCTACGACTATACATTCGGTCTTATATTTCAACATATGAAACTCTCACTTGTGTATCCTTAAATCATCATGATCAAATCAATAAACTCATACGTCTTTTGTCATGGTTACAGCCTGTGTGAATTGCTGAGCCTAGCTAATTAAAAATGAGTAAAACAATCCAATCTATAGAGAATGGTTGACATTCCAAAATTAAATTGTAACCTATAAATACCAATGCAGTTTTCTACATAACTAACAAGTAATTACTGTATGGCTTTAAAAAATCTAGTGAGACTATATTTTATGAACAAACCAATTCGGTATAAGATAACAGGTCTCGAATTTTGGCGCGAAATTCACTCATCTATTAGGTGAGATAGTTTTGGCATTATAACTGATATCAGTTCATGATGAAAAACCCCTAAATCTAATTCATAACCTTAATCATCTATTGTAAATCATAATTCTAATTTCTCACACACTGGTTTATAACTCTCATTTGATCCTAGTTATTACCCGAGCTCCCAAGTTTGGGGAAACTCCCAAAGCCAAATGACCTTGACCAAGGTTAAAGGAGGATTTTTGGGAAATAATGGTGAATTTCCCCAGGTCTGTGGAAATTTTGGGGTTTTTTGTGCCATTTCTCCAAAATGGGTCAAATTTTCCCCGGATAGGTGAACACTCTCAAGGTCAGTTTAGCGTCACTCAAAAGTCGTCCATAAATGATAGTTTCACCAAACTAAATTAAACTATACATTTAAATCATTTCATAAAGTTTCACTAAAAAAATTTATTTTTTAAAAAAAACAAAGTAGCTAACCTTCGAATCACAACCAATTTTTTCTTTACATTGTTCACATGTATTAGCAAATTTAGCTTCATAACAAGCTAAACAATGTGGTTCATCATCACGTAATATATAACGTTGTCCTGTTAATGATGCATCACAACTATGACAAGCAAAATGACCAAAATGATGTTCTTGATTCATAGCTTCAGTATATTCTTCTGAGAAAATAAGCTATAAACGATGATGAAGAAAAAAAATAGTAATAGGACGTTTGGCTAATTTGTATTAAGCTGTTAGATCAGTGATACAAACACACACACACACAATAAGTAGGGTCCAATTGAATCAATGAACCAATAAGAGATGTAGCATATGACCTTGTCTACACTGTTGTATTCTTGTAGAAATTCTATTTGCAATGAATATAGACAGGCTCTTGTTTTTATATATAAGGCTAGGCACACACATATATCCAATATAACACACACATATAAAGATGTGCAATGAAGTTAGTCAATAACCAATCAGATTTCAGTTTTGTTGATGACATGGCCATCTCTCCCTTCCCTCTCTCTCCCTTTTTGGTAGACCATATAAAGCTGTCTGATCAACCAATTCATAAAGTGGATTAGTCATACCCTAATCGAGTCCAAGAATTCAGCTCCTGATTGGTTGAAAATTTTATGAAAAGTAGCTGATTATAAACTATTGGTTGATTTAATTTTGTTATATAAAATGTAACAGCTTCTATTTAAATGTCGACATGTGATTCGTGAATATTATGAATAAATATAACAAAGCATGACTTAATAGGTTAGAAATTATAGAGTTGGATCTGTCCGATATGGGTTTGTCGAAGTGATCTTCCAATGTATTTTCTAAATCGTGTTTTAGTATCCGTCAGAATACGGTAATACCCCAGATATTTTGTTACGTGGCTTTTTAATATGGAAGAACGTCTATCTAATCTACTCATCTACTAAGTTGCAATTTCTCAGGACTTAATCTAAGGCCTTTGAAAATCAGTCGAGTAATAAACTTGTCAGTTTGTTTCAAGATAATAACATCGGGTCAACAATGATTATTTCTGGAATTTCAAGTAGCACGATTCATGTTCTACACTTGAAGGAACGGCGATATATTGTTCTTATTACTAATACCTAGATCTTAGGATCACTTTATGATGAGTCAGAATGTGACACATGAATATGAAATCTTTCCAGTTAACACATACTCCAGTGCTAGTGTTTTACATGTGTTGGTCGTAATGATAGAACTCGGATGCTTTTAAGTATGGGGTGATCAGAGCTAATAAACCATTATTTGTAAACTGAGTTCTTTATTCATCAGCCAACGGTACACAATTATGTATATACTACTTCATAAGTATCGAACCAGTTAGTCTCGTCCTATGACCTATTTAATTGAGATTCGGCGGCAAGTCCAGTGAGTATATATATATATATATATATATATATATCCAATTATCTCAGTTATTCCACAGTTAATTTTCTTGCCCCGGCCTTTGTTGCTACCTTGACGTGGTGGTCGGGCTTGCCTATCGTAATGAAGCAACCGAGCTATACTGACTGGAATAACCGTTCCTCAAGGTCTTACCATGCCAGACAGATCGGTTGAAGAGCGGTAAGACTAAAAGCAACAAACCTAAGATCCGAAGGAGAAGTCGTACTGCTGACTGTACAGAGGTGTGACGGCAGTAAGGCGTTTCCTTCAGACAACCAGCATGACAGCGATGCTGCCTTCCCACAAGGAGGAGTGGGGTTAGAAAAGGCTGACCCTAAAAATGCACACCTTACCTTATCTCATGGATATCCGTCTCCGGCGGTAAGGTCTCAACAAGTACGGAGCTAACACGGAAATGTCGTGTGCAACCGACCTCAATCAGTTGTCCCTTGGGCAATGCGGTCACGCTCTTCAGTCATTAAGACCACCTCTAATCTAATTTCCTTTAATTTCCAGAAGAACCTAAAAAATGATAACCGCCGTCATACCTCTAACTGTACTCAGGAATTTCCTTGAAAAATATTTTACTAAAACACCTTTAAATTATTACAACATTTAAGAATTCATAGAATAGAATATTTCTGCAAAAAATAGATTGGTTAACCTTAATTACATAATTGTAAACAATTTTACTTAAGGAAATCACTTACATGATCACATGCCACACAACGTGGACTTACTGATTGACCATAATCTCGTAAACAATAGGGTCGATTATTTAACCAAGCATATATATAATCAACTAAATTTTCATTACATATTGTACATCGAAAACAATTCAAATGCCAAGCTGGTGTACGATATAAGGGCATGTTAAACAATTCTTCTAATAAAGAATGTTCTGGTTTAATTCGTATACAGAAATCATCAAAATTGATTATATTCGAACAATTTGTACATGGCTAGAAGTAAATTTATAAAACATCTTCAATAATATGACAAGTAATAGAGAAAAAGTTGAACGAAATACCCAGTGACTATATATATGCACATGAGATAAAATTCAATTTTTTTTTACTGAGATCATGGACTGATTGATGTTAGACCATCATTGAAAACCTGGAAGCACTGGACGGCTGTTTCGTAATAGTATGGGGCTCCTCAGCAGTGCGCATCCACGATCCCGCATGCGGGACCTATCAGTCTCGCGCGCGAACGCTTAAACTCTAGACCACTGAGCGGGAATTCAGTGGTGTTAATGTCTAGCTTCAACAAATCCGCGAAATTGCGCGACTATCTTCCATTGTATTGAGGTAGACACAAAGCAATTTATCAAAGTACAATCTTATAAAAACTTCTATTCTGGAACATATAGTAGATTCATGACATTAAACCTCAGATTCATCCTTTGACATTGTTTACAAAATCCAGTTAGTGATATCTGCTTTATACTAGCTGATCATAATATCGAAACTGATCTATTAATGCAGAACAGTTTGTTAATTCTGGATTTTTATCATCATTATAGGTCTATTATATTCTTCTACTTTGTCACAGCTGTTAATCGATATTTTCGCATTCGTAACCACCTCCCCGTGTTGCTATGCGAATGATTTGATCAGTCATATTTCAAGTAGGGTCGCATAAGTAAATCGTTTTTGATGAAACTATTCGTTCAAATTTCGGCGAGAGTTCTGATATATTAACTCACCAAATTGCCAGGTCACACGTTAGATTTACTTCAAATTCATTCTCTGAGATTTTACAAATACATTCTATGTGACTGAAGTTAGAAATGTGGACTAGGGTCTTCTGATTAATCTGTTTACCTTCAATTTACACAGCTTGTCCAATAAATATGCGAATTGTGACTTAGTTAATCACTTCTAGTAGTTTCTGAATGTTTTAAAACTTCTCATTTAGATAAAATATGGACTTAAAATAGTTCTTATGAAATGGTTAAAGTGTGTAAATGAAAACCGTGAAGATTGAAGGGATGATTTAAGGAACGAAATTATACGGCTTCTTGTAATTCACTGCTCATATATAAAATGATCAATTGAATTTGGAGAAATTCACTTTGAACAATATTCTAGTGGAATATTCAAGGCTGAGACATCTAAAGTGTGACGACGGACCACCGGTGAACTCGAGGAAGCTGTAAGAGGCTCAGAAGGAGCCGAAGATGTTCCGTCCAATCACCTTTCGGAATATTCTAGAATTCCTACGTATAGCTTCCCGATAGGATAATGCTAATAACCCTCTGTATGCGGATTGAAGGACTGTAATGATGATTTCGTTCTTACTAAAAAATATAAATGCCTGACAATTTAGTACTATGGTTGACACTGTTTGGAATAATATTCTTTTCATTAGTCTTCTGTCTTCTTATTCCGACTTGGAAGGGTTTTGGTGTTCTAGTGCTCTGTTATACGCGGTGTATCAAGAAATCAACATTCAAGATGTAACATAAACAATCTGAGTTCTAGGGATACTTTGAACAATTAAGATGGAAACTGGTTAGTTATGTTATCAAAAATATGGTGTATTTGGGAGGGAATATGATTGACATACTTATGATTCTAATATTTATGGTATAGATTTACTTATATTATTGGGGATTCATTATTGTGCTCCAAAGTTGAAATAGGCGTGAAGTGCCAATATTTATACACATTTTTAAATCTAACATATGTAATTTAATAGTTGAATTCATGAATCAATTCAACTCAAGACCACCATGGAAATCCTAGGGGCACTGGATAGTTGTTTCATCCTACCATGGGACTCCTCAGCAGTGTGCACCCACGATCCCGCCTCGCGAGATTCGAAACCAGGACCTATCGGTCTCGGGTGTCGACGCTTAAATTCTAAATCACTGATCCGAGAACCTACGGTGTCAATGTCTAACTTCAACCAATCCACTAATATATGTGATCATAAGACTGGACTATAGTACACTTTATATAGTTGATTGATATTGATGAATTTTATAAAATGAAATAAATGATAGTCATTTTGTTTTGGAGTCCAATCATGAAATATGTATATGGTATTTGACCATATTTGGGTTAAAGGTAATTTATAACTTTTGTGAAGTTTTTTTTTATTGTTACATCAATTAATAATCTAACAATGAAAAATTCAAAATAAGTAAACTGTCTTATCAATCTAAGCCTATTTGAAGATTCTTGTAACCGTGATAGAACTAACTGACTGGATAGTATTACCACTAAGCTATTTGAACTACCATTGATCTTGTGTAGACTACAGATAATCGCACGTTAAGTGATCATAATGACATTAATACCCAGTGTCATGTTGTCACTCGGCAACAAGGATGAGGGATATATGACATTAGTTACTGATACACTAGACATATTACATGCTTGTGTTCACACCTAAAGTGTTAGGTGAGAAATTATAGTCGAGATACTCTACCAGAGAAAATCGATTAGGTAACTAATCAAGGTCTCAACCTACATGTCTTAGTCTGGGTCAAAAGAGTAGAATGTATATCAACGATTTGTTCACATAGTGGTTCGGTTACACTAATTGCAGTTTCTTATTAATATTTTAATCTTTCCGATCACATAACTGGTTGGGGTTGCATGTTTGTTTATGTTGGACGTCAATAATCACAACACTACCGTTTCTATGAAATAAAGTATCAACCAATAATTTCTATCAATATTATTATGATGATAGTCAAGCCATGTGATTCATGTAAAGAAGGATGAAGTTAATATAAGATCAGGGATTTTCCTGAAATCTTTAACTCATTACTTGTTTTATACTATAATTAATTGTAGTTTCATCAATCAGTCAACCAACTTTTGTTTTAATTACCTGTCCATCCTTATCATTCATATGTTCCACTAATCCAATACCCAAACAATCGAAATTACGAAACTTTTTAAAACGGTTCGCTTCACTTAATTCCTTTATTAAGTTAGGATTTGAATCTTTTGACTGACGCCATAATTCCATAATTGTTACAGCTGGTTTACGATCTTGTAATGGTATTTGTTTTCTAAGACGTTGACGCCTAATATGATCAGCAACTTCACCACGTGGTAATTCATCCTTTGGAAGACTATCCAAAAACGAATTCACCTTAGATCGAAAAAGAGATAAGCATATTATTATTACTATTACCGCTATTATTGTTCTTAATATTATTATTATAGTATTTCTTCACTAATCGATATCACCTGGGAAACTAATAAAATTTGGTGGTATTAAATATTTGCTGTGTTGTTCAAGCCTGAGAATTTATATCAACGGGTTACCGTAAACTCTTTATGGAATGAGACCAAACACCCTTAGTATTTATAATAAGGTTCTTTACCTACAGACCACTGAATCTGAAACCCACGAACTCAAATTTTAGACTTTAATCAAGTTGGAAGGATTTTCAACGGTTACCCAATAAACTTAACTAAACCCAGAAGCTACGGCTTTCTGTAAGTGATTATGCAGTTCGTGTCAAGACCTACACATTACAAACACAAAGATAATATGATGATAATATATTTCAGTAATCTATCCTATTGACCTTCTTCGACCAGTCCGTATCAGATACAGTATTATTTAATGGTACAAGAAGGCACCAAATAGATATGCACCACATAAATCACTCGATTTTTGTGAGGGATGGAATAATGCCCAGGTGCCCAAACAGGAACAGATAGATTTCATAGGGGGCCACACTCCAGCCTTCGACCTAAAGGTCTAATCCATAAGACAGTGGAGCAACGTTAGGAGATGTAGTCCTGTGGTAGCTGGTGACCAACAATAGGTTCATATACCATTTGTTCCTTCAGGATCCTGGAGCCCATGTACAACATTCGTTTGGATTGAAGGTTTTCCAAACCAGTTAAAGTGACGGACATTCGATCTTCGTGCTCTCAATTTCGTAAACAACAGTAACGCTGAGAGAAGGCAGTGAGTAGGACTTCCCTGGCAGAGGCTATATACGCGTGGCCATGTGAGAGGATTCTGAAGGGGAGATTTAATTCTCCCCGCTCTTGACAGTACCAGGTCGTTTAGGGGCAAAATATTACAGAGTTGATCAATGTAGCTCATAAGTAATTTTCATTAAAAATTACGGTATCATTTAAAAATGGAACACTGCGAATCTGATTCGTCTCAACCTGAGATTATTATAGTAATGCATACCTATCGAATCAATTAGTCTTAATCTTTTCAATGGTTGAGATCATAAGTCAGTTGAAGCTAAACGACCATGGTAAACCTGGACGGCCATTTCTTCCTATTGTGTGACTCCTCAGTAGTGCAGATCCACGATTCTGCCTCGCAAAATTCCGATTCAGGACCTATCAGTCTCACGAGTGAGCGCTTAACTAACTAGACCACTGATCCAGCCAAAATCCAATCGTGTTCATGTCTAACATCAACCAATCCACGAAATTGAGCGACACATCCACCATTGTTTTCAGTGAGTTTCTGTCTCACAATAGTCTTCAGTTTATAAATATGAGTGATTTCAGTAGTCAGTGACTTCATTGACTGAAGTCACGTTTTGGTTTGATCATTTCCATCTTTCTTATTACATTAAGGTAATATGCATATGGAAAATCATTCGAAACATATGTAACATTATAATAATGATAATAATAATAATCGTACTTCATTTAGTTTAACACCAATAGGTAACCAATTTAATCCAAATTGTTTAGCCAAATTTTGTGCATCCATATATTCATTATAGAATGATGATTGATTTAAATCTAATTGATCTAATATTGATTGATTAGTAAAATCATCAATATCATGTTCATAATATGCACAATGACATTGTGTACATAACATTCTATAAGAAAGTATAAAGAGATATAATTTTACTTTTATTACCTCCATGAATGTTTCATGAAACCAGGACATTTGGATCCACATTTTAAACATGCTTTAGTATTATCTTGATCATAAGCCATAAGGTAGCGTAAATCTAAAGTGATAAGATGAACAGAAAAGTGTAAAGATTGAAGATTCATTGATATAAACAATAAAAATAAAGAAAGTTTGTTGAACTTCCTTCTCGTGTTGGGGGTATTGTTTACGAAATTAAAAGAATGAAAAGTGAATGACCGATGATTTAACTGTGTTGGTGGATACGGAGAGTTCATCTAGGAGAGTTGGAAAATCCTGATTCTAAAGCAATAGTGAACATGTGTTCTAGGATCCTAAGGAAGCAAATGGCGTATGAACCAATTGTTAGTTACCAGCTACCATAGGACTGTATCTCTTTACATTGCCTTATGGATCAGATTTTTATATCGAAGGCTCCAGGTGTGGCCTCATAAGAAAACTATCTGCTTCGATTTGGGCACCTGAGCAGTATCCCAACTCTTACATAAATCGAATGATTTATGTGGCGCATATTTATTTGGTGCCTTATTGTACCAATGTTTATGTGTTTAAATAAATAAATATTAACTAATAATCACAGACAATTTATTACAGAAATTTGTTTCATTAAAATCATGAATGGATCTACGTGAGGCAACCTGAAAGCACAGGACAGCTGTCTAGTCCTTTATATAGTACTTCTCATTTGCATACATCTACTTTATCACAAGCGGGAATAGAACCAAAAACCTCCGGTTAGGGAACTCTCCTTCACTTAGGAATCTTGTTTTCATCATAATCTTGTTACATGGATAGCTCACCGGTAACATCTTAAACAAGGAAGCTGAATTGAGATATTAGTTCGACTAAGATTGTAACTACACTGTACTTCCAACTCTTAGATATCATGAAATTTTGATTAAGGTGAATTTCTTCTTGATTATCTCTATCCATCTAACTAACAACTTGATTTCGTTATTATGTAATGTTAAAAAAGTACCCCTTAAAATCTAACAAATCCTTTGATTGTAAAACAATTTCATAAGAATAACTTACTTGTATGATCAAATAATCGACTTTTTTTCTCGGTGAAAACTACTAACCACCACGAATAAGTAGTATATTTACCAAAGGGTTTATTTATTCAATAAGAAAAAATGTGTGTAATATATGGTAATCCTTTCTAGAAATAAGTTTAAATGATATTCGAATTGATCGATTGACTGATTGGTTGATTGATTTTTTATTGATCATTTAAAGTGTCTGGCTGTCTTTCACAACGTACTATGCACGTATATATATAAATACAAATGAATTGATCGATTCAATAACTAATTAGTGGATGGTATCAGAAAGGGTTTTATGGAGATTACAGTAATTTAAACTGTTGAGATCATGAGTCAATTGATGCAAGATCACCATCGAAAACCTGGAAGCACTGGACAGCCACTTCGTCCTATTGTGGGACTCCTCAGCAGTGAGCATCCACGACCCCGCCTCGCGGGATTCAAAACCAGGACCTATCAGTCTCGCGCCATGCTCTTAACCAACTAGATCACTGAGCCGGCTGACATCCAATGATGTTAATGTCTAGCTTCTACTAATCCACGAAATTGATTGACACATCCACCATTGTCATCAGTGAGTTACTATCTCACAACTGACCCAGTTGAACTCCACTGATCCACTGCTTCCAGGTTTTCCATGTTGGTCAAGCTTCAATTGACTCATGATCTCGACTGTTGTAATTAGTAGGCAGACGAATTCTTTTTATTCAAGAGAATTATGGAAAATCTAATCTGAGATCAACTGAGAATTAGGGTATATAAAGTAGTTGTATTCGAGCTGGGTTTCGTTTTTTTTTATTACTTAGCATTAACTTATTTGGGGATCTAATAGTGAAGTAACGATAGACCGGTTAAAATATTCAAGTTTTAATAAACAGGTTGAATCTTTTTTTGAATTCTGTTCTATATAGTTTATCAACGCAACTAGTTTCATATAGACAGAACGATCTTCATTCAGAAGAATTATGATGTCTCATATTGAAAGACGAGATTGTTCGGAAGTCACGAGATGGATGCCTCTTCTAATAACCAGAGCAATAATTAATATAGGTACATGAAATGTTCAGACAATGTAAGGGTTCGGAAAGACCAATCAAAAAGCTATGGAAATGAGCAGATACAACTTAACTGTGCTCGGAATAAGTGAAAACCATCGAACCCAAGATGAACAGAAAAGGTTAGATTCGGGAGAGAAGCTGTTGTACTCTGGTCACGAGGAAATAAATACTCCACACACTCGGGAATTTGCTTTGATGTTGTCTGAAGAAGCACATGATGCACTCATAGGATGGGAAACTCACGGATCCAGGATCATCTGAGCATCCTACTACATGAAGAAGGAGGGGATCATGATGAATGTTATCCAGTTCCATGCACCCACTAATTATAGATCAGTTTTTTTAAAGGCTGATCTTGGCCGTAGAGAAGTGAATAGGAAGGGACACAACCATGCTGATGGAAGACCTAAACGCCAAAGTCGGAATGAACTACACTGCATATGAAGATATCATGGGACGACATCGACCGGGAGAAAGAAACGAGAATGGTGATGGATTCGTAAATTTTGTACATTCAACAAAAAAGTAACAGGCGGTACAATATTCCCACGCAAATGTATGCAAAAAGTTACATGGAAGACATTAGAACCAAGAGAATAGCTGATATAGCTTCAGATCGTCACCTGGTGGCTGCCTAGACGAAATTGAAGCTAAAAAAGTAATGCATGATTGGAGAAAAAGAATCACGCGGGTTGAACACAGCCTTCCCTCAACATACTGACAAACTCAATGAATTCAAGACAACTATCGACATTCGGTTTCAAGCCTTAAAAGATCTCAAAGAAGAAGAAACTACTATGGAGGACAATGGGAAAGGGATTAAAAAAGTATCAACTTCAACGTGCAGGAGATTCTGGACCGCAAGCCGCATCATCATAAGGAATGAATCTCTATGAAAACACTGAGGAGCATTTAAAGAAAGAAGAGCAAGAAGACAGTAATTAACAACAGGCGAACAAGAACAGAGCAAGTCAAGGCACAATATGAGTACAGAAAAACCAGCAGACAAGTGAAGAAGAGCATTGGAGCAGACAAGCAGAAATGCACGGAAGGGCTATCAACGACAACGGAAAACGCTGTAAGAGAAGGAATCACGGAACAACTATATGACGCAACGAAGAAGCTGGTAGAGAAATATAGTAAACCAGAGAAACCGGTCAAGGACAAAGAATGCAAGGCAATTATTGAGATTCCAGAATAGAGGAACAGGTGAAAGGGACATTTGGGGGAACTCTTGAATAAACCATCTCGCTCGAATACACCGAACATCGAAGCAGCACATACAGACCCCCCTATAGATGTCACTCCACCAACGATCGAAGAAATCAGGATGGCCATCAACCAAATGGATAGGAGGAAGCAGTACGCCTAACAATATACAAGCTAAAGGTCTGAAGTCAGAAATAAAAGTAACTGCAAGCATGGTTCACACTCTATTTAATAAGATTTGTGAGGAACAACAAGTGCTGATGTACTGGAAAGAAGAGCACATCATCAATATACCAAAGATAGCACATCTGATCAAATGTGAGAACTACAGAGACATCACACTACTGTCAGTACCAGGACAGGTTTTCAACAGAATGTTACTGAACCGGATGAAAGATTCAGTAGACATTTAACTTTGAGATCAACAGGCTGTATTCCGTAGGGATCAGTCGTGCACAGACAAAACCGTGACATTATGGATCATCGTTAAACAATCATTTGAACTCAATTTGTCACTATACATTAACTCCCTGGAATATGAGAAAGCATTTGACAATGTGTATAGGGGAACCTTATGGGACGTTCTTTGGCACGATGGTGTAGTTGAGAAAATCTTCAACATCATTCGGAATTCACACGAAGGACTATACTGCAAAGTAGTGAGTGGGAGACAGCTGACAGGTGCATTCCAAGTGAGGACCGGAGTGAGACAAGGCTGCTTACTCTCCCTCCTTCTGTTTTTCTTCTGGTAGTCGACCATACTTTATACTTCCTTTGCTAAATATTCACCAATTGTCTTACACTTTATTGTTCCATCGTTTCTCTTATCTTCGATTGTCTCAATCTTCCATCGCCAAGCACTCCACTTTTGTTTGATGATTCATACTACTGATGTTTGTCGATATCAGTAGTGCACATCACAATAACAATTTCATTCATCATCATTTTATCTCGCTCATTTTTTTAAAAAAAAAAGATCAATCAAGATAGTTCCCCATAGTTTTGTCGAAACAAAGTGAAAATTACAAAATTTATATAACGATTTGTTTAATTCTTTGATATATTGAAGAAAGAGAAGTGAGAATCTAAATCATAATCTTGATCAGATGCTGTTTGAATTGTTTTGTAGATTATTTCGATGTAATTAGATGAAGTTTACAGTCACAGTCGATCCAATTTATGAGGAAAAAAGCCTTATCTGTAGGATAGGCGTATCAATTCCTTGATAAGCGTGTAGATATGCCTTGCTAACAAATACGTCTCACTCGACCAGAAGATATTCAAGAAGAAACATATGAATGAAGTGTATGGTTAGTATCTGATAACACCTAACAAGAGTTTACACAATTTTAGATGCCTATCAACAACAATATTAACAATGACCTCAAAAGATTCATCACACACCTTGTTAACTAACTGCCTTCAACACTCTCTACAATACAGTAAAGTCTTTCCTCAAAAGCCTGAGAAAGAACAATGAAGAATATTAAAGGATAATAGTGTAGTGAACAGAACACGCGTGGGGACAACCGAATGTATTTGGTACACAATAACAGAGCATCGCAATAAAATTTGAGAACCATATATCAAATCGTTAATTTGTAAAATGTCCACCAAATGTTTCAAAATGTTTCAGACTTCCTTGTCTTTGGATTTTCATACAAATTGCATTCTATTCTCGCTCTGGTTTTCTTGATCTTCCCCCATCTTCTGCTGCCAGACATTACGTTCCTGACTCGCGTCATATACTACTTATATCAATATAAGTAGCCCACACCACATTAGATACTATGTAGGAATTGACAAACTTTAAGAGTAAATATCGAGTAATCTCAAAAACATGTAGCCTCTTTATGTAGTAAATCAAACAGAAAACTTCCTTCAATAATAGTAAGACATGAGAAGACCAACAAAGATTAGAGGAAACATAAAATCCGGATAACTGACTTTCGATAACGTGTTTATCAAGGGGTCTCCAATGGCACAAGTATTATGGGATACCAGGATAGTGTTTAGAAACCGTTCATACCTCATGCTAAAGTTAATAGCTTGACATTTAAACGGATTAAATGAGACCATTAACAACGGATCAATATTAAATACGAGATAAAAACTCATTCATTTCTATGGGATGTAAAAACGTCATAAGTCGGTATACAACAAAAAGTTAAACCTATAACATTATGTAAACATTGAGAAATATTTTCAGTCGTTAAATTGATGAGTTAATTAAAGCTAGACCAACATGGAAAACCTGGAAGCACTGGATGGCCGTTTCGTTTTATTGTGGAACTCCTCATCAGTGCGCATCCACGACTCCCTCTCGCGGGATTCGAACCCACGCGTAAGCGCTTAACCACTAGACCACTGAGCCGACATCCAATCACAAAATAGGACAAAACAGCCATCCAGTACTTTCAGGTCTTCCATGTTGGTCTAGTTTCAGTTGACTCATGATCTCAACTAATGAAATTACTACAATCTCAACACATCAAGACAAACGTTGATCACAATTCATTAACTTTAAGTCCAGCAACAAAAAAGAACTGCTTCCAATAGTTGTCATGGTCATTTCAAAAGAAATACTATTGATTTATGGAATTTAAAATCATGAGCAAGCTTAAACTATTTAATATAGAGAAGAAAACAAAAGCAAATGATATAACGATAGTAAGGTATTTTTCAATCAAACTAATTACATCCAATATATAGTAATACAGCACTTATAGTATGAATTTGAAGATAGATTCAGTACAATCTGATATTTAATGTTAAACTACTGCAAAATCTAAGAGTATTGGATAGTTCCATCGATTAGATTGAAAGAATTTTAACT